ATTAGCAATATACATGCATTCAAAAGTCAAAATAAATAGTTTAATTTAACTTAAAATTTCCAGATAATGAGCCACCAGTGTTTCTCAACTGTCCTAACAACCGAACTGTTTCAACGGATCACAGAATGTCCACGTCAACAGTCAATTGGGACGAGCTTGTAATCACAGATAATTCTGGAGAGCCGACTACCGTGCACCACTCACATCTGACAGGCAACGATTTTAACATAGGTTACCATACTGTAAACATCACTGCCGTAGACTCATCATGGAACTCTGTAACTTGTATTTTTAATGTTTTAGTCAAAGGTAAGATTCAGACAAGATTATGCAATTATGATATTTTGTTTGCATTTGCCTTTCGCGGGGTCTCTTGATACCAGGCCTTGTAGTTATTGAACAACGATATTCAAAAGCAGACCAAAAGTATTCATTATTATCCATTAATTTTGTAAAAGCAATAATGAACTACTGTAAGTTTTTTTTTTATTACTACAAGATATAATTACACTAATTTTGTTGATATTAGATACTGAGGCTCCTGTGTTCCACAACTGTCCCACGGACATTTTCCTCGAGACGCTGTATAGGTCTCCCTTCAACATCGGATACTGGGATGATATCGAAATAAGCGACAATTCTGGCTTAGTATCAAATGTTACCACGAATTATGAGTCGGGAGACGTATTCTATCTTGGCCAATCACCTGTTGTTTACAGCGCTACTGACGCTGCTTCTAATATGGAAAACTGCTCATTCACTGTTGCAGTGCTTGGTAATATTTTAATTTTTATTGCTCTCACACAAACACAATAAATAATGCGTTATTCATCAACAATCCATCTGGAATCTACCAATTCATTGGGAACGACGTTTCCAGTTACAGACGTTGTTTGTATTTTAAACATAATTTGATTCATTTATGCACATGTGTTCCTTTCTTAGATACTGAGAACCCCTATTTCACTTTCTGCCCTCCGGATATTTTGATCAATACTGAGGACGGGGTAAATACTGCAATGGTAAATTGGAATCATCCCAACGCATCTGATAATTCTCAAATCGAGCCTGTCATCTCCTCGGATTATAATTCTGGAGATATATTTCAGGCACACATAACTACAGTTACATACAAAGCGAGAGACGATGCGGGAAATATTGGTATATGTCAGTTCCAAGTAGATGTAATCGGTGAGTAACTATGATAAGCTACGGTAATTTGAATAATGAACTTTTTTTCGTTGAATTTAAAAAAGAAGAGGTTACTTATTCGCACGGTACCGTGCGAATACGTTCTTATTCTTATTCGCACGGTAGATTTCAAGATCTTCGAATTGTCGAAAAAATCTTATTCGCACGGTAGAAAGTAAATACAAATATTATCGAAATACTGTGTGAATTGGTACAGATAGTCGATAGCTAGGGCCTAGCTATCGACTACGTCTACCGTAAGAATAAGAATTTATTCGCACGGTACCATGCGAATCATCACTTCGATTTAAAAAAGATAAAAAAAATGATATCCCTCTTCCTTTGTTAACTTGCCGATTTCACATTGTAGAAGAATCAGCAACTGATAGTAATAATAATAATATTACATAAAGAAAATAAATAAAGCGAGTGAGACTAGATTGGAAAGTTTATATATAGTTGTTTGTATTCGTAAGCTCCAAAAATTAAATTCTTGACATTTAAGGTATGACTATTGATTTGGCATTATAGTTCACCCAAATTCTTCCTATAATAGAAAGCAGTCTTGTACATACGCTTCAATGCACAAAGATATCCTTCAAGCTAACAAAGCCTCATTAACGCTAAGTAATACATGCAATCAGTTAGACATGTTATTTTATATATAGGATAAAATGTATCTGACCTCTTGGTTTTTAGACAATGAACCTCCGTATTTCATCAATATGACTGGTGACATAGAGATTTTCATTGATGCCACCAAGATGAACACATCTGTATCATGGAAGGAACCTCTGGCTTCTGATAATTCTTTGATCGAGCCAACAATTTCATCAACACACACATCTGGAGACATTTTTAGTATTGGAGTTACTAGGGTTGTTTATACTGCAGTAGACCAACTTGGAAACGAGAGAAGTTTCACATTTTCTGTGAATATTCGCGTGGCATTTGCTAATTTAGAATCGTTGGTAAGTATCATGGTTGCAAATAACAAGTCGATTTCCCTCAGACATCATTCTGTAGGGCATATGTACATAATTAAAGCACATATCTTTAAAATTCTGTGAGCGAAACATTACATAAAATTACAGACAATATATTATCGAAGAAACAATATTATTAGATAATTATAAATTAATATATCCTTAAATTTAAATAGTGATAGAACATTTTTAATATTTTTATTTCTTGATAACACAGTTAGCATTTAAATAATGAATACTTTCATTTCTTGGTTACAAAGTTAGCATTTTGAAATAAATTGGAAACCTTTCTCCGCTTCACTTGAAGTTCAGACCGTTTTCCGTTTCATTTTAACATAACATTTTAACAACTCCAATTTCACCTTCATGCGATATTCATTATATACCGTATAATGATTTGAAATAGATCGTTAGTATATAACCTGTTGTTACCTGCCTGTGTCATCTTCTCGGAGCAGGTTGACTATCATGGATTTCCAGGTTATTTCGCTGTCCTATTCACAGACACACACACCACACCCACACACACACCCACACACACACACACACCACCACCACCACCACCCCC